TAATGTGAGCCACTTCTTACTAATGTGAGCTTGTCTCCTGTCAAAGAAAGTGCAGACACACTTTAGCATGCTAACATACTCCGTGATACAGTGTATATGACTATTTTAATTAACAGCGTTACTTTAAGAGTTGGAATTTGGAATAAATAAAACTAGGCATCAACTTATAATTTTGCTAAGCCTCAGCTGGGAACATGTCCTTTACTTTGAAATCATTTCTAAAATTTTTTATGAAACTTTTCGTAAAATATTATGATATTAAAGATCTCATTTGTGAGACAAAGGTTCCTATTTATGTTTTAAATTAGAATTGTTTACCTAAAAGTAGAATCTAAATCCTACAAAATGTCACACAAAACTCAGATTGGTTCAACCTTTAGATAATTAAAAAAAAAAAAAAAAGAAATAATAGACCAAATATCTATGCCTTAAAAATGATTTTCCTTTTGGGTTTCAAAAACTAACAATATCAGTATCATTTTTTTACATTTAAATGTAAAATTAACTGTAAAAGAGTATTCATGTCATATTATCTAACATGTATAACATTAAACACACGAATCTAAATTAATCAAACCGGTCCGAATATCTCTCACTAAAATTCCTTTTAAATTTTCTAAAATTCAACCCCTAATACTGAAAATGCAACAAAATTGTAGAAAAATTAGAAGAACTACAAAAAGTAAGCTCTGTCACATGGTTGGCCGCCAACTGTGGCCTGGATAGATTGCAAATTGGCCACGGTTGGGCGTGATCTCCCCGGCTAGATTGCGGCCTGGTACCGTGGTTGGCCACGATTGGCCCACCCTCTCCTCAACGTATGAGTTGACAATGTATTTATTTTTAATTATTTTGGATTTGTCAATTGATATTTGTAATTCTTTTATATTGTTCTTTGTCTTTGTTACCGGGTTTATGATTTTAATAAGTTAGAAACATTATGAGGAATGAGATGGTGGAAGAATAAGTTTATGATTTTGTGTTTCATGTTATTGGAGAAGGTTTTAGATAGGTCGATTGTTTGGAAATCATATAGCATCGGAATTCTTTTGATAAGTGGTATTCTTCGGAGCATTTTGCTTGTGCAGGAGGAACCAGAATACACCGATGTGGTAGGCATCAATCTCCATTTTCCAACACACAAGACCTTTATGTATAACTAATCCCAGTAATTAAAGGGTTTGTTATGCTGCCAGAAAGAGAGAGGTTAGGTAAAAGAGTATATGTTGAAGAGCACTTTTTCAATCAAACTGGTTTGTTTGATATTGTTTACAATTATAATTATGAACTTAGATAATATTTTTTTTTTTTTAAATTTCTCTAGTCTTTGAAAATATATAAATGTGGGATTTTGTTTTATTATTATTTTTTAATCTCTTTTAACATAAAGTACGGATACCTATATTTTTTACTTTTAACATTTAACATTTGTTAGACATTTATTTTTTTTATATGTATTTATGATTAATTTGAAATGCATGCCCTAAGAGCTTTAATTTGCGGATCAAAGAGTAGTAAATTTGTGGATCAGATTATTTGTAGTTGCACAGCTACGTGCCTCTCCATTTTTCAACTCAAATGCAAAGAATCAATAAAATTCTAAGAAGCAAAAAATCACCTAACACTGTAGTACTACCTAATTTCACATTTCTTTCCAACAAACATTCCTGATATATATGACACAGAACACAATCTTAATTACCCAAATGCCTTAACTAATAAATAATGAACCCGGCAAAACACTGCTTCACTTGTTCACTCTTGTCTTGTGGGACTCATTCTTCACAGATGGACCTCAAAAGCTTTCCACTGTGTCATCTTTAACAGCCAATCCAACAAGTTCACTTTTTTAGTTTTTGAATTCTAAAATAAATAAATAAAAGGAACACAATAAAATAGAAAAGGGTTTGAATTCTAAAATTTTAAAATCTAATAAAAAAAAAAATCCAAAAACTTGAATATTAATTTTTTTATTTTTTTATTTTTATTATATTTAAATTTTGTTGAGTTGAAATGATTTTATGTGTCAGCATTTCATAGAATAGATGTTTTCTAGTTCAATTATATTTTTGTTTTCTGTAACTTATATTACAAAATTACTGATTCACCCCTATTTGTTATTTGATGTTAAATGTAACACCAAATCACAACTGAATATCCTTAAAATAATTGAGAGGTATCCAATCCAAATTCCAAAACTCGTGGTAATTATTTTATCATTAATATTTTATATTATCACACGGACTAGACTTGGCTTTTGGTGTCATTCTTTTTTATTTGTTTATGATGCATTAACTAAACATTATAAAACTGTGTGTGTGTCTACATATGAGTTGTAACGCATGCTTTAGACTATATGATGAAATAGTGCAATTAAACTAATTGGTTATAATACAGTGCCCTTTGATCATACTATTGCAGCTTGTACCTACAACCATTTTTTAAAAATATGTAACATATTATCGAATTCAGTCTTGTTTGTTTGTTTATAGATGTTAGTTCGATAAAATACATTTTTTACTTGGCTAAACATTACAAAAGTCTGTTGACTATTACTTGCCAGAAAAGAGGAGATATAGTGCGATTGATCTTCACTTCGAAACACAAAAAGAATCCTCATAATCCCCTTGAAATTGAGGCAGAACTATAACTTCTGTAGGAAGAACTCAGTACAGGTAGCCCCATCTTCTTTCTTTCTGTTTCTCTCTCTTTTTTATGTAAGTATCTGCAATTGTTGATTAATCTTGATTAATAGCTAATTCTAATAATTTGTCTTTGAAGATTAATATCTAACTATATATAATCTTGATTCTTAATTGTTTTCCTCAAGATATGTGCAGTAATTTCTTTTTGATAAATGAAACTATTTTCAATTATCAAATTATTGGCAGGCAAGTGTTTTAGGATGGATCCAAAACATGGTTGACTTAATTTTAGCCTCTCTTTGATCGTTGATTGGATCTGGATGGGCCAAATTTATACCTCTCTTTGGGGGGTGGGGTTCGGGGGTGTTCGAAGAGGATTCGTGAAACTCTTAACAAAATGACTAACGAGAAAGTGTTTAGGACGATTGGGTATACCCTAGGGGATTTATGGTGCATTAGAGATGCCTTGAGTGGTTTACATCATTAAAACGTGTCTAGGATTGTATTTGAGACATTTGTATGTTTTTCCAATAATATCTTGTTATATATGTCATTTTAAATCAACGAATCATGGTTGTGCTTAGTTGGATGAGAGAAAACTAAATATATTGCTCCACAAATCTTTACTCGTTTTTTTTTTTTTTTTTTTTTTTTTTTTTTTTTTTTTTTTTTAGGTGTTTTTTAAAAGTACCTAATCAAGCATGTCAACCAAATATTAGGTTCCCTCGATTAATTTTCTCAAGCAAGAAGTTATTTTTCTACATTTTCCACTTTTAAATCTAAACATTGGCAGGCTTCATGAGCATCGAAGAGCCTTTCCCATACTTTTTCCTCTATGTGGAAATATGATGTCTTCCTAAGCTTAGAGGTGAAGACACCCGTACACTTCACGATCATCTACACGTTATTTAAGAAGAAAGTGGAATTACTTTTTTCAAGGATGACATAGAACTTGAGAAGGGAAAGTCCACTTCACCTGAACTCTCTAAAGCAATTGAAGAATCAAGAATATCGATTATTGTTTTCTCAAGAAATTATGCTTCTTCCACTTGGTGTTTGAATGAACTCGTTAAGATTTGTCAATGCATATGACAATGAAACAACGGTTTTTTCCAATTTTCTATGATGTGGATCCATCTGTAGTAAGGAAGCAAACAGGACTTTTCAGGAGGCTTTTCTAAACACAAGAAACATTTAGGAGAATATGGAAAAGGTGCAAAAGTGGAGAGCTGCTTTGATAGAGGTGGCCAATCTCTCTGGATGGTGTCTAAAGGATAGGTAATAATTTGTCTTCTTTATTGTAATATGTTCCTTAGATGTGTTTGGTTCAGAAATGTTGTATTAATAGAAAGATAAATTACCTTGAAGATTACGAAGAATGTCAGGGAAATTTGTTTGGTTGGTTGAAACAAATTAGTAGGTATTTATATTGATATGTTTGGTTGGGAGGAATAAATTGGTAGGTATATTATATAATTACTAAATTGCCCTCTTTTTAAATATTTGTACAATATTATTTTTTGAATCATTCTTTTAACCTCCTACATTTGAGATTTTTCTAAAACACCCCAGCTACATAAAAGTTTAATTTCTAACCAAACACACCCCCACCCACCCTAGCCACTACCAGCCGCCCACCACCACCACCACTAGCGTCAATGGTAGTAGCCAGAACGATGCACAACTGACCAGATCTAGTTGGTCGTGTACCGATCTGGCCAGTCCAATTGTCAAAGGAAGTGTTGATTAATTAGTTACTGCTATTTTTCCTTTAATTCGTGCTTGTGTTTTTTTATTATTTATTACTTGTTTGTGTTGGTATTAAAAGACATATCTTTTGTTCTTTTCCATTTTTGCAGACCTGAGTCAAATTTATTAAAGAAATTGTCGACGAGATATTAAGAAGACTAAGTCCTACAACATTGAGGACTCGTGAGGACTTTGTGGGATTAAAGTCACTGTACAGACTCTTAAGGCTTATGAGTACAAGTTCTAATGACGTTCGAATGATAGGGATTGGTTGAATGGGAGGAATAGGCAAACAACAATTGCAAAGCTATTTATGACTTGATCTCATGTGAATTTGAAGGTAGTAGTTTTCTTGCTAACGTTAGAGAAATTTCAGAGAAAAGTGGTCTGGTTTGTTTACAAGAGCAACTTATTTCCAACATCCTAAGGGAAAGGAAAATTAAGTGTGGAATGTCCAGAAGGAATCAAAATGATAAAATGTTGCGGAATTTTAAAATTCTCATGTATAGATGAGTGGATAATTAAACCAACTAATGAATTAACTGGAAAACAGATTGGTTTGGTCGTGGTAGTAGGATTATATAACACAGAGATAAGCATCTTCTGATGACACATGGAGTGGATTTCATATACGAGGCTGAGAATTTAGATGATGAAGAAGCTCTTCGACTATTCAGTTTGAAAGCCTTCAAAAATTACAAGCCTCCAGAAGAATATGAGCAATTGTCCAAACATGTTTTAAAGTATGCTAGTGGTCTTCCATTAGCTCTTGAAGTTTTAGGCTCCTTTTTGTTTGGTAGAACGACTGATGAATGGGAAAGTGCATTACAACGATTAGGTAGAGATTCTGAAAAAAGAATTCTTGATATTCTTCAAATTAGTTTTGATGGGTTAAATGAATCAGAGAAGAAAATATTTCTTGATGTTGCATGTTTCTTTAAAGGAAAAAATAAAGATCATGTGACAAGAATACTAGACTCTTGTGGTTTTGATCCAACTATTGGAATAAGTGTTCTTGTTGATAAATCTCTTTTAACTATTTCGGATTACACCGAACTGTCAATGCATGATTTGTTACAAGAAATGGGTCAACAAATTGTGAAGAGAGAATCCTTAGAAGAGCCTGGAAAACGTAGTAGATTGTGGGAGAAAGTAGATATCAGTCACGTATTGACAAAAAATATGGTAAGCAATTCTACGAGAAGTTTGATAATCATAAAGTTATTTTAATTTATCAATTCCTTTAACTAATTAACCTTTATACGTTTATCAATTTCATAATTTAACCTTAAATTTTCTATTTACTAGGGAACTGAAGTAGTGGAGAGCATAATACTTGAAAAAGAGGCGCAGCTGAGTGTCGATGCTAAGGTCTTTTCGAAGATGATCAAGCTAAGACTTCTCAAAATCCATAACGTACAACTCCCCCAAGGCCTTGAATACCTTTCGAACGAGTTATCATTCCTTGAATGGAATGGATATTCTTTAAAATCATTGCCATCAAGTTTGCTATTGGATAAAACTGTTGAGCTTATAATGCATTATAGTCGCATCGAACAGTTGTGGAAGGAAATCATACAAGTAAGACTCAGTCATGAATATGTGCTTTAGCTATTGTATATTGTTGTTAAGTTAATAGGTAAAGGCTCACATTATTTTAGTCTAATAGGTCCTTTCATATAAAACTTGGATTTTTTTTTTATTGTCTTTTATCTAGTTGAATGAAAGGATTTGAATTTTAGACTTTTGACTTTGATACCATATTAAATTATCAGCCCACTTAAAAGCTTAAGTAATGGGTGAGCTCTTAAGATTAAATTATCGTGCAACGTCTTTGGATCATCATTGATAAATTTTTACATTAATTCATTGTCTTTTCTGTTCCAACAGCCTCTAGACAGGTTGAAAGTCATCAGTCTCAGTCACTCCAAGAACTTGAACAAGACGCCAGACTTCACAAAAGTCCCGTATCTCGAGGAGTTAATTCTTAAAGGATGTACAGGACTGAGAGAGATTCACCCATCTTTACTACTTCACAAAAAGCTTATATTGCTGAATCTCAGAGATTGTACAAGTCTTACCACTCTTCCAAGAAAGATTAATATGGAATCTCTGAAAAAACTTGTACTTTCCGGTTGCTTGAAGTTGAAGACGTTTCCACAGATTGTACGAAGTATGGAATCTCTAGTGGAGCTTTGTTTAGACAGAACTCCGATTAAAGAATTACCATTCCCAGTTGAACATCTAAAGGGAATTGTTTTGTTGAGTATGGAAAACTGCAAGAATCTTGTGACTCTTCCAACAAATATACATGATTTGAAATCTCTCAAAACTCTGTCAATCTCTGGTTGCTCCAAACTTGAAAATGTACCAGAGAATCTGGGGCAAGTAGAAAATTTGGAGAAGCTTGATGTAAGTGGAACTGCTATAAGGCGACCGACGTCCTCCATTTTTTTCATGAAGAATCTTAAGGAGTTATCTTTTCGCGGATGCAAAGGACCGCCATCAAACTCATGGTATTTGCCCTTCCCATTCAATTTGATATCAGGTAGAAGATCAGATCCCGTCATCACTTTGAAGTTGCCTTCACTGTCAGGTTTGCCATCATTGACAAATTTAGATCTCAGTGACTGCAATCTAGGAGCAATCCCCAGAGAAGTTGGCAACTTAGTTTCATTGCAGTATCTACATCTAGGAAAGAACAATTTTGTGTCACTTCCTAGCAGCATCAGTCGTCTTCCTAAGCTTATGAAACTTTATTTGGATAATTGTCATAGGCTTCAATCATTGCCAGAACTTCCACCCAATTTAGATGGCCTTTATGTAAATTATTGTACTTCACTAGAAAGATTGCCAAATGCATTATTCATAACACCATATCCTGTAGGATACATTTCTTGTGTGAATTGCTTGAAATTGAGTGACTACAAAGCCAGTGTGGCATCAACACCAAAGGTCTCCCTCTTTTCCTTTTCCCCCTTTTTTTTCTCTCTCTCTTTCTCTTGCGTTAAAGATATTCTATGTACGATTTTATCTATCTTCTATTTTTATTTGTTACAGGAAATACCCAATCCAGGTTGTTGGTTTACCAGCACTGTTATTCCTGGAAGTGAAGTTCCGAAGTGGTTCAGCCATCAGAGTGAGGGTTCTTCAATAAGAATAAAATGTCTTCCAGACATGAAGTTGAAGGGATTCTTTCTCACCGCTGTTCTTTTTACCCGGAAGCATTTTCCTGCCCTCAATAATAATGCTCGCATTGGTTTTCAATACAGTCAAGAAGGGAGAAACATGAGCGTTGACTGTTCATTTCCAAATAAATTTATCCACGGTTCTGTTTCAGACCATCTTTGGCTAATCTATTTTCCAATCCGCCACTTCCACATTGTGCCGCATAAATATTTTTATGAGTTTGAATTTTACACATCAAAGTGCCTAGCAGTGACTGTGAGTAGGTGTGCGGTCCATCCGATATATGAAGAAGAATTGGTCGAGTTTGACTATCCAAGAGAACAATGCAGTAGTAGCTCTATTTCTGGGAATAATTTGATTGAATATCACCAAGATTTTGTTACATCAGAAATGGATGCTGCTGCAACTAAGCGAAGCCTTGTTGAATATGATGGAGCAGAAACTAGTGGAATCGGTGAGGAACCACAACCCAAAAGGCGGAAAAACTCAGAATTCTCTTGATCACCCTGAAGGGTAATGAACAAGTAAGCATATAAATTCCTTGGTTTCAGAAGTCTTTTTATATTTTTAATAATTAACATAATCAAACATTTAAAGATACTTTAAATTTTTTTATTTATTTATGCATATTTAATGAATCACAGCCGCCTTCATGCTGAGCTCTTAGCAGGTCGTTCCTGAAATTGACATGGATGGTGGAATCTTTGGTTGAAGTGCATGTGATTGAAAGGCTCTTCTAATTAAGTTGTTTAAATAATTCTGAATTTCAGATGAGGACATCTCTATTCTGAAGGAAATTATGTGAGTGTCACCTTATGGGCTCACTCTTGTAGAAAATCTTCTTCTTTTCTTATGCCTTTACTTCAAAAATTTATATTGGTAGATTTAAAAAATTAAAAGTAAATTTAAATTAATTAAAAATAACAGTAAACCATCAAGTTTTTGTTTTAATGGGTAGGAAACTGAGGTTCTCTTCCAGTAATATGGGTTTTCATAAACAAATTAATACATAATTGTATGATAATGATATTGATTGATTTTGACTCATACTTTATTCTTAATTCTAATTGAATAAAAATTACTTTAATTTTCTTACAACCAACATGAAGCTTTGAAGTAAAATTAAAAGAGCCTGGACGAATGAGAGTGAAGAGGTGTGGAGTCCATCCAATATAGGAAAAAGAAGTTGATGATCATCCAACAGACCAATGCAGTAGCTCTAATTCTAGGAATTTGATCGAACGCCACCAAGATTTTGTTGCTTCGGAAATGGATGTTGCTGTAACTAAGCGAAACCTTGATAATGAAATTGACGAGGAACCACAACCCAAAAGGCCAAAAGGCCAAAAAGCTCGAATTCTCTTAATTACCCTCAATCATAATAAAAGTAATGCGTTGATTTGTTGATAAAATGAGAGAAATTTGTAATTGCATTTCTTCTCTTGATTTGTGTTGATTAGTTTGTGTAGTTATGTGTTTTGTAGAGAGAACACAGAAGCGAAACCGTCCATTTTCATTCACGTCTTTTGAGGGTTGATCCAATTCTAAGCGGGCCTTTTTACTTTGAAAATAAATAAAAGCATCCTTCAACTTTTTAAACTCCTGCGTAAAGGACATGCTGCAATCCGAGATTTATCGAAAGGCTGAACGACTTTCACCAACCCAAAGTTTGACATAAAGACGATTGATACCTACAAAATTTAGAAATGATAAACAAATACTTTTTGTTATATTCTGTTAGAGATTTTGGTCTGTTAAAAGACAATATAGTAATTTTATTCTCACCCCAAACCCGTTTGTACAACCCTCTTATCAGAGTAAATACCCTAGAGTCAATCAATTATTGTCATTTCTTTTCCATTATAATTTTGCTACTACATACTTTTTCTCATGGTAATAATTCATTATACTTTATAATATCAATTGTAATATTTCTAATGAAAACCGTCCATTTCCATTCACGTCTTTTGAGGGTTGATCCAATTCTAAGTGGGCCTTTTTACTTTGAAAATAAATAAAAGCATCCTTCAACTTTTTAAACACCTAAGTAAAGGACATGTTGCAATCCGAGATTTATCGAAAGGCTGAACGACTTTCACCTACCCCAAGTTTGGCATAAAGACGATTGATATCCAAAAAATTTAGAAATGACAAACAAATATTTTTTGTCATATTCTGTTACAGATTTTTGTTTGTTAAAAGACAGTATAGTAATTTCATTCTCACCCCAAGCCCGTTTGCACAACCCTCTTGTCAGAGTAGATGCCCTAGAGTCAGTCAATTATTGTAGAATTGACTCTTTGTAATAATGTTCATTATCAATAAAAGACAATTTATTCTATATCGCGTAAATCATCATTATTGCAATATATATTGATATATGTCCTTAGAATGGTAGAACTGTGAAGAGAGTATCAAGTGTTTCAAATCTTGATAGTGAGAACCCTATGAGCACATATGGTGGCCATTTTAGAAATGTTCGTAGCCCTAGTATTATTCTGAAATAAGGACACAGATAATACGGTAAGGCTATCATAGTGTTGAACGACCCTGTCGGAAGGCAGTGACTGATTTCACTTGTCAAGGTTGTTTGGTGACAACCTGGCGCAACACATGGGTGCTTGCTATAGGCGAATACACCGTAGCAAGTTCATTGGACTAACCCACCAGAGGATTCCATATGGATGGTAATCTGAGTGTCTATGGAAAAAATCCTCTAACGAATGGTGGTGCATGTGATCCTTAGACTTGAGATCACCGGAGCGTCTTGTGCACCGATTGGTGCAGTTTGAGACTAGCCTAACGCAGTTCTTTTTAGAGCTGTCAATACGGTGGTGATTCGCTGCATCAAGGAGTGTATCAAGACTATGGTGGATAGACAGAGGATTCATCACTACCGGGTACGGGAGAAGTTATTTCACGGCATAATTCAGTATATGGTAATGACATTAAACTGTGGCCATAGTGGGATTGAGCTGTTGCTCTATCCAGTTTATAATACAAGTCATTAGTCCAGAAACTAAATACATAATATCGAGAGTAACCGAAGGTTGACACTATTTCTATGCCTTCGTCTCGTTGAGATAACGTATGATGAAAGGATCGAATTGTACGGTAACCATATCATTGACAGGTAGCTACTTTGCTGAATCCGAATCTATCGAGTGGCCATGATGCCTTGCTATGAGCCAATCTTGGTCTGTGTATTAGTGAGATGATTAATTGGTGTTAATCGTGATACTATATACTGTCGGTATGATGAGGAGCCTATGGGTCACACACATAAAAGATAATTTAAGACTCAGAAAGTAAGAATGGCGTTTTCATCTTTTCAGGCGAAAGGGTATTTTGGTAATTTCACAGTGCAATTAAATTTGCTGAGGTCGTAGCCTTTAATTAATTTTTTAGACAAATTAAATAAGTGAAATTACGTTTAAATATGTGTTCGCATATATTTAAATAAATTATCATTATTGTTAAATGTTAATATATATATTAACTATATATTAATTGATTTTAATTGGGATAATGATGAAATTAAAATAAGTATCTAATTGGGAGTGTTTGGAAACATGGGGTGTTTGGGTTGGAGCCCAAGCCTATTCCATATAGGAATAGGGCAATTAAACTTGACTATATAAACTTAAGTTTAATTGAGAAATGTGTGAATATTTCATTATATCATTTTTCCATTTGAGAGAAAAATTTTCAGCCCCTAAACACTCTCACGCCAGATTTTTGTTTTTGCCTAAAATCAAATTCTTTTGATTTCTTCTTCTTTGTTTCTTAAGGCTAAGGAGGATCTAGCAAATCCCTCCTTAGTTCCTTACGATTGTCTTCGTGTGGACTACGTCGGTTCGATCCTACACTTGGGTCAGTAGCAAATACATTCAGAGACAAAGTTGGAGGAGCCTCCAAACGTGCGTATGGTTTCTTAAACTCTAGATTTATTTTCTGCAGATTCTTGTTTTGCATAAACTGTAATTTCTGTGCCCTGATTTTGGGTTCTATAGTAACGATCCATGTTGTAATTAATTTTTGTTTTCCGCTGCCTCAATGGATCATTTACTAACAATGGTATCAGAGCCTAGGATACCAAATTTTACAGTTTTTATGAATGGTTGATTACATGTATTTGATTGATAACATGTTGCCTTGATGAATCTGCACAAAATCTGCCATGAAAGCAATTTATTTTCTTAAATCTGAAAATCTACTGTTGAATGAATGAATCAATTGATAAATTAGTTTAATAATGTGTTGATGAATGTTATATTGGTTGGTTGGAATCCTAGTCGAATGTTTGTGCATTCGATTTGATTTGGATTCGTGTTATTACACAAAAACTGCAAAAACTGCAAAAAAACGCAAACTGTGCAATTTGGGGATTTCCAGGTCTCCCCCTGGAATTCTTCGCGCTGGCGAAGCTTTCATCTTCACCGCGGCGAAGTCTGTAGTTGTCCCAATTCTGTATTTTTCGCTAAAAGATCGAATTGCAGTTTTTTAATAACCTATAAAGCCAATAATCATTCTGCACATTTAAGAGGGTAATTAATTAATAAACCTACCGAATTCAAAAATTGATTGTTTTTGAAATGTATGCTATGTGCTTGTTTGTATATTGTATGGTGCCCGGTACATGAGCCCTATGACCTATGGTGAATGTTTTAAATTATTTTGGGTATGTATGGTTGTAAGTTTTAATAGTAGGGCCTGTGTGTCCTGCCTTCCTTTCACTTCTTGATGTACATTCTCTTCTCATTTAATTCCCCTCGAATGTAAATCGAGGTTTCTAAATTTATTAATGTAAAGAATTTTGTATAATTATTTTTATTATAAATTTAGTATGATGTTTTTGTAATTTACGTGAGGCGGAGCGATGGAAGAGACGATCATACTTGAAGACTCAAGTTTTTATTACAGGACCCCTAGGTGACCAACCGATTCCTCTAGGCTCGAGGAAATCAATTTTAGTTAGGCCATGTACAGGCACGTTTTTATATTTTGTTTAGAATGCATGCTAAGGTTGAATGTTGAATAACATGCCAAACAATGTCATTCTAACAAAGATAATAATCTGATGAGACATTAAATAAAAACTCTCAATTATAGTATATTAAGTCACGTAAGCCTTCCATCACCATGGTTTTAATCAAACCACTGTTTGTCGAAACCTTATTCGCCAAAGCGAAGGGCACACTTTTACTAGTGGGAGGTTAAAATGCATTGGAGTTTTCCTTAACTGTGATGGGTCGACTTAAAATGACGGTTTTGCTTATTCGCCAAAGCGAAGGTTGATAAATGTGTCATAGGCATAGTAGAGCAGTACACATAATATGTGTACGTGGTGACATGTAATATCCACTCTACTGATATTGAGAATCACACTTGAGGACAATGGTTGGAGCCACTGAATTGTGTGATTGGCTACTTGGCTTTTTCACATTTGAGGTTGATAGTAGAAGCTATCAACTGGTGTGGATTAAGTTTGTTGGCCTACC